ATTTGGCTCCAATATTTGTTAAATAAAAGCCAGTGAACTTGGTCAGAAAGAAAATGTATTCGCATAAGCTGGCCCCATGCTTGAGCAACACACAGAAATCAAATTATGTTCAAAATTCAAAAGCATGGGAAATGTATATTTCTTATTCACTTATTCAGCAAATATTTATTAAGCACCTACTGTGTGCCAATGCTGTACTAGGCACTTGAAATACATTGGCAGACAAGATGGACATGGGATTTCCAATGCAGCAGGACCTCCATTGTTATGTATAATTCCATTTGAAGACAGAATCGGATCAATGATTTTTATATGACCAAATATATAAAATCTGTGCTTTGAGGCTGTATTAGCTTCTTAGGTCTGCATTAGCAAATTACCACAAACTTGTTGCCTTAAGACAATGGAAGTTTATTCTCTCACAGTTTAGAGGCTAGGAGTCTGAAATAAAAGTGTCGATTTCCTTTGAAGGCTCTGGGGAAGCTTGTTAGTCTATTCTCACGCTGCTAATAAAGACATATCCAAGACTGGGCAATCTATAAAGGAAAAAGGTTTAATTGACTCTCAGTTCTGCATGGCTGGGGAGGCCTCAGTTGCAATCATGGTGGAAGGGGAAGCAAATATGTCCTTCTTCACATGGTGGCAGCAAGGAGAAGTGCCAAGCCAAAGGGAAAAGCCTCTTATAAAACCATCAGACCTCATGAGAATTCACTATCATGAGAACAGAATGAGGGTAACTGCCCCCATGATTCAATTACCTTCCACTGGGTCCTTCCCACAACATGTGGGGATTATGGGAACTACAGTTCAAGGTGAGATTTGGGTGAGAACATGGCCAGACTGTATCAAAGAGAATCCTTCCTCGCCTCTTCCAGCTTCAGGTGGCTCCTGGTGTTCCCTGGCTTGTGGCAGCATCACTGCATCTCTGCCCCTGTCTTCACACGGCCTTTTTCCTGTGTCTTCACATGGTTTTGTTAGAAAGAAACCAGTCATTGCACCTAGGGCACACCCTAAACCAGTATGACCTCATCTTAACTAATTATAACTGCAAAGGCCTATTTCCAAATATGGTCACATTCTGAGGTTCTGGGTGAACATGAATTTTTAAGGGACTGTATTTTACCCATCTAATAGTGAGCTCATTGCATTAAAATGATTAAAATTACTTTATAATTGCTTTTTAAAATGTGATCACCTTGAGATAGCAAATAAGTTTTGTATTTTTTTTTGTTTTATTTTGATTCGGTCATTCCAGTTTCAGTTAATCAGCAGGTAGTATAATTCATAATAAGTCATTATCCAAAGGACCCCCAACTATTTAGTTTGAGATTCTCTCTACATGGAGTCAAATAATATCTATATAGAATACTATGAAAAAGTTTAGTTTTATATTTTGAAATATAAGGTATATTCATGATCCTTTGTTAGAAGCTTTGCAAAAGTGATATTTTCTTGAAGAATACATTTCAAAGCACAATAATCTGAAAGGAATTGTTAATGTGTCAATTAAAAGAATTCTGATTGCATTCTATGGACAGTGACTAAGATTTCCTAAAAGCATGATTTTATTACTATCATTAATTTTTAATCAGTGATGGGGGCAACATTGTTCTGTACATGGGGACAATAGAACATAAAAATGGAAGGTTTTAATCAACATTTAGATCTCTTTTCCCTTTGCAATGGAATTTTTCCCCTAATGGTAAAAGACAGTATGCTTGAAATATATCACTTATCTTCCCTTTATATTAAAAAAAGTCACTGATGGTGCTTGAATTAAGAAAAAGATATGCCATATATTTATAGCAACTAATATGTGTTGGACAATCTTAATCTCAAATGCTTTAACCAGTTGTAAAGCCATGTATTAAGACAATGTATGATTTTGGAAATACGGTGGCTGGGGCAATAATAGAGAAATCACTGAGTCCTGATGCATTGTTCAGGTACCAGCATTCAGGACTGATTGCTGAGTGTTTTGGAATGGTTATATAGTTTAATAGAAAAGCGTGTGTTTTATATTTATACAAAATAGACTGCTTACGAAGTTTACCTGCCTGTCTTTTGAGAAGTATACTTTAAAAGCTTCCTCAACAATTATCTTTTTATCTGTAAATTCTAGAAAATTACTCTTACTTCATGAGATTTAAGGATAAAATGAAATAATGCAGATAAACCCTGTGGCTCAAAGGCTGGAAAATAGTAAATATTTAATGCTTCAATATTCTATGCTTCAGTTTTTCTTTTCCAAAATAGAAACATAATACCTACTGTCAGCAGTAGTGCTTAAGAACATGAAATCTGAGTTGAGAAAATATGGGTTTAAAACCCAGCTATGCCACTACAAAGCTGTGTAACTTTGAGCAACTTATTCAGTGAATTAATGTTTCTGCTTTTGCCTAAGAATTCATCTTTAATCTACTATGTGGTTTCAGCTTCAGCCTTAGACTGTGACTAGCCAATTAGCTAATTGCCAATTGCAATGTCACTTTTGCTATTCTTGAATTTGCACATGATCAAGTAAGTTGCCATTATATCTAGTGAGCATAACAATATTATATAAATAAGTGAGGTATGGCTTTTAGATGCATTGCTGGTTTATATGACAGTTTGAATTACTATTTAGGAAATATTCACTTCTTTCCCTTCCCATGTGTATGAAATATATTTCCCCTTCCTTCAGTGTTGGGCTTGGCCCTGTGATGTAATTTGCACAATAGGATGTAGGTATTTGTGATATAAACAAAGGCTTGGAATGCCCTTGTGCAATAGACTTGCCATCTTCCACTTCTACTGTTGTCATGAGAAGAGCTTCCTGTAAGCAGCTGCTGCTCCATCAGCCTTGGGCCCAGAATGCCCACCTGCAGAGTAGACCTGAGCCCAACCTGCAGTGAGGAGCCACATCCAGTTAATCCTACAGCTTGAGTCACCAGCCTAGACCAGCTGACCTTCAGCAGACCTATAAGCATATAAGCAAGAATAAATAGTTGTAGTTTTTAAGCCACTAAATCTTGAAGTGGTTAGTTATGTAGCATAGCTGTCTAATACAGCTTACAAATATGCGCTTTTAAGTATAAGTAAGCATTTTAGACTTAACTTGAAGTAAAATTTTTCTTAAGACCTTTATATCATAAAATTCTATTCTCTAGTTGATGTATTAATGTTCTACATTAATTAGCAATGATTATGAAAGCTGTTGATTTTATATACAGAAATAATTTTTAGAATGTTCAAGTATTTCTTCTTTTCTTTTTTTTTTTGTGACAAAGTCTTGCTCTGTCACTCATGCTGGAGTGCAGTGGTGTGACATCGGCTCATTGCAACCTTCACCTCCTGGGTTCAAGCAATTCTCCTGCCTCAGCCTCTTGTGTAGCCGGGATTACAAGCATACATCACCATGCCCAGCTAATTTTTTATGGTTATTAGAGACAGAGTTTCACCATGTTGGCCAGGCTGATCTTGAACTCTTGATCTCAGGTGATCCACCCACCTTGCCCCCACAAAATGCTGGGATTAAAGGCATGAGCCACAGCACTCAGCTAGAACATTTAAATATTTCACTAGGGAAACACTGTGATAATTTTAGAAAAATTGTATATATACTTTAATTCGGCAAATGCTTATGAAAGTTAAAACAACAATACAAATTCAAAGAATAGAGATTAGATTATATCATAATTCTGGTCTTTGTAGAATTGTTTGGTGCAATAGCATTTCGTATGTTAAACGAGTAACAGAAAACTGTTTAAGTTTGAATTACTTAATTCTAGAGAAGTTATCTGAATAAGTGAACATAGTAATCTTACAATGACTTGAGCTTTGATAAAGATTTCTGGCTGGGCGCAGTGGCTCGTACCTGTAACCCTAGCATTTTGGGAAGCTGAGGCAGGAGGATTGCTTGAGCCCAGGAGTTCTAGGCCAGCCTGGGAAATATAGCGAGATGTTGTCTCCACAAAATATTTAAAAGTTTGCCATGTATGGTGGTGTATGCTTATAGTTCCAGATACCTGGGAGGCTGAGGTGGAAGGATAGCTAGAGCTGGGGAGGTGGAGGTTGCAGTGAGCTATGATCATACCATTGAGCTCCAGCTTGGGCAACAGAGTGAGACCCTGTCTCAAAAAGAAAAAAAAGGTTTCTATAAAATCTCATGAATTTGTTATCATCATGATACCTTCATAATCACTGTATCAGGATAATTTTGTTGAAACTTAGTTTGAAACTGACAGGAACAGAACCTGGCCATTCAAGCAAATAATATTAATTGGAAGGATATTGGCTAGCTGACAGGCTAGTCAGGGCATTCTGGTCCAAGGGTGGAAGGAGCGCTGACAGTTCAAGGTGGTGGCAAAGATCTAGGTAGAGAATTTCCCCGATAATCTTGCCTTAAAATGAATGAACTCAAACTTTCTCTGTCTTATTGCTACTTTCTCAAGACTGAAATTCCAAGAAGTAAGCATCTAAATATCCTATCCAGGAGAGGACAGAGAACAACTGGGGACTACTGGAGAACTCTCACTTCCACTAAAGATATCAGGAACCTGCTGCCAGAGAACATGGAATGGATATCAGTCAGCCAAAGAACACCTCACTATTAATTTATTATTGTTTTTATGAATATTACTTGACATCATTTTTATTCTCCATTGCTGGAAGTTTGAAGGAGGTCTATACATGAGACATTTCTCAAGAGTATGATATGAGAATTTAGAGCCAGGATGGAATTTATGGCTGTGCATGAGTTAAACAATGAGATGCCTCTGGGCAGAAGTAGAGATATTTCTGATATGAACCAATCTGGGACACCTGTTCATGTGGTTGGGACGATTGTTTCTTCCTAACAGAGAATTGCTTGTCAATTTATAAACTTGGGTTTCTCCAAGAGGATTTGAGAACTTCCTATGAGGTCCTTACCAACACATGAGAAGATTCTTCTTTTTGTCTCATTGAGTGAGGTCTGTTTCACCAAACATTTTAATTATAATAATTTTTATTGAAAACAATTATATATAGAACACTTCACGAATTTGTGTCATCCTTGCACAGGGGCCATGCTAATATTCTCTTTGTCATTCCAATTATAGTATATGTGCTGCTGAAGCCAGCACTCACAAAACATTTTGCCTTGTTCATAGCCAACATCTGCTTATTAGTATCTTCGTCTTCTTAATACTTTTAAAAAAATCACTTCAATTTTTGATCTTTGTTATTTACTTAGGAGTTAGTCACTATGGTCCATGTACTTCACAGCTGGCTGTAAACAGACAGGATAGAGGGGTGCATATGTTTTGAGCTTAATTGGGAGAGTAGATAAAACAAATAGTTATGGAAATAATCATGGCTTTGATCAAAATGCTCTGAAGGAGACGTGTAGGATGTAATGACAGTGTGTATACAATGGGGGACGAACTTAAACATGAGGGTCAGGACGGCTTCCCTCAGGATTAGAGTTTGAATTGAGACATAACGCCTGAGTAGGAGTTAGGTTAAGAGAGGTAGGATGAAGGGAGTATGGGTTTGGGGCAGAAGCAAGAATTAAGGGCGGAAGTGGAAAGTAGCTCAGCCTACTGGAGAAATCTTATGACCAGTGTTTCTGGATTGCAGTGAGGAGAAGAGATTGGTGAAAGAGAAGATTCTCATTTCTTTTCCAATGCTAAGGCCAACAACTTTTAATATTTGAAGATGTTTCATCTTATCAAATGTGCTGATGTTGACAATCTTTTAGAAAGCAGGTGGAAGAAGTAAGTAGAAACATTGCAGCAAGAGAACATTGGCTGTTTTTGGTGCACGTTCCATGAAAGCATTGAAAAACCACAGCTCTGCCTGTCTCATTTGACTTCAGTGCTCCACCTCTCAAGCTACGGTGACCAAGCAGAGATGCAAACAGTATCTAATGTTTGAGTCATCTCCAGCCTTTCAAAATCCATTTGAAGACTGGTCATTTTTTTTCCTATGTTAGGTGCTTGGAAAATGTTCAGAACAAATCAGGCGCGCAGTGAATGCTGTGTGTGCACACATTCCCTCTGGTGTTTCCAGTTCAGTGGGCCAGCTCTCACTTGTCATATTGAGTCCTTTATTACAACAAAATATTATTTTAAAGCTGCACTAAAAGTAATTAGAAGCAATTGAGTTTTATCAACTAACACAAACTGTGGGATTTGAAACTTGGATTTTAGCTGGTATTTTAATGAAGTGTGTGTTAACAACACCAAATCTTCTGTCAGGGCAGCAGCTGAGTTGCATATACAGACCTTTGATGGGGGACCATGTGTTAACGCTCAGAGGCGTCAGGCTCATGTGGGACTCTGCGCATCCATACCTCACAGATCTGTCTCCCAGTTTCATTTTTATTTTCTCCTTCTCCTAATGAAAATTCTGATAGTCCTCTCATTTGTTCTGATAAAAATTTGGAATTAAACATGATTATTCCCATGTGCACATATTAATAATACATATTTGGATGTGAGTAGTGACGACTTAAATTTTCTCTTTGCTCAACTGCCTCATTTCAGCCTAAGATGTTAAAAATACACATAGTCCAGAGTGTTCAAACTTATTTAGTGAGAAGCAGGAGGTTAAGGAGGAAAAAAGAATAATATAAAGAAGGAGAAGGATGATCTCTAATTTTCAATAAACATTTCTAGTGGAATAAATATCTAGAGGAAGCAGGGTGGTTTCTCTTTTTAAAAGACAACCTTCCAAACCTTGGCCAAAGGCCTTTTCAGTTGAACATTTTCAAAGAATAACCTACAATTTACTAAAGAAGCTCACACAACTAAAGCCAAGACCATCATGGCACAATGGAGCCTTTTAAAGTATGAAAGTATGCTTCTATCAGGACAAAACCTAAACTAGAGAAATATAAGCTTTGTAGGCAGATTTTACCTAATCAGCATGCAATTCAAACTAAAATCTGGTACTTTTAACTTTTTATCTGTTCTTCCTATTTTTACCAATGCCAGAAGTAGGTGTTATTCACCTAAGGAAGATAACAAAGTGATATGGTTTGGCTGTTTCTACCAAAAAATCATCTTGATTGTAGTTCTCATAATCCCCACATGTCATGGGAAGGACCCAGTAGGAAGTGATTAGATCACATTGTTCTCGTGATAGTGAGTGAGGTTCATGAGATCTGATGGTTTCAAAAGCATCTGGCATTTCCCCTGCTTGCACTCATTCTCTCTCCTCCTGCCCTGTGAAGAGGTGCCTTCTGCCATGATTGTAAGTTTCTGAGGCCTCCCCAGGCTTTCAGAACTGTTAGTCAATTAAACCTCTTTTCTTTATAAATTACCTGGTCATGGGCAGTTCTTTATAGCAGCATGAAAATGGACTAATACAGTTTTTGGTACTGAGGTAGGGGGTGCTGCTGTAAGAATACCCAAAAATGTGGAAGCAACTTTGTAGCTGGGAAATGGCTTCAACAGGTTGCAATAGTTTGAAGGGCTCAGAAGAAGATAGGAAAAATGTGGGAAAATTTGGAACTTCTTAGAGACTTGGAGGGTACGGAAGATAGGAAGATGTGGGAAAAATTGGAACTTCCTAGAAACTTGTTGAATGGCTTTTACCAAAATGCTGATAATGATATGTGGACAATGAAATCCAGGCTGAGGTTGTTTCAGATGGAGATGAGAAACTTATTGGAACCAGAATAGAGGTGCTCTTGCTATGCTTTGGCAAAAGGACTGGCAGCGTTTTGCCCCTGCCCTGGAGATGTCTGGAACTTTGAACTTGAGAGAGATGATTTAGGGTATCTGCAGAAGAACTTTCTAAGCAGCAAAGTGTTCAAGAGGAAGCAGAGCATAAAAGTTTAGAACATTTGCAGCCTGAGAATGCAATACAAATGAAAACCCCGGGCCAGGTGCGGTGGCTCACACCTGTAATCCCAGCACATTGAGAGGCCAAGGTGGGCTGATCACCTAAGGTCAGGAGTTCAAGACCAGCCTGGCCAACATAGCAAAACTCCATCTCTACTAAAAATACAAAATTAGCCGGGCGTGGTGGCACATGCCTGTAATCCCAACTACTTGGGAGGCTGAGGCAGGAGAATTGCTTGAACCTGAAAGGTGGAGGTTGCAATGAGCTGAGATCATGCCATTGCACTACAGCCTGGGCAACAAAAGCAAAACTCTGCTTCAAGAAAAAAAAATCAAGAAAAATAGAAATGAAAATCCCATTTTCTGGGGAGAAATTCAAGCAGGCTGCATACATTTGTATAAGCAACAAAAAGCTAAATGTTAATCATCAGGACCATGGGGAAAATGTCTCCAGGGCATGTCAGAGACCTTTGTGGCAGCTCCTCCCACCACAGGGCCAAAAGTCTAAGAGGGAAAAATGGTTTTGTGGGCCAGGCCCAGGGTCCCCTTGCTCTGTGCAGCCTCAGGACATGGCATGTCCCAGCTTCCCCAGCTCCAGCTGTGGCTAAAAGGGGCCAAAGTAAAGTTCACGCTATTTATTACTTTAGAGGATGCAAGCCCTCAGCCTTGGTGACTTACACACAGTATTTAGCCTCTGGGTGGACAAAAATCAAGAATTGAGGTTTGGGAACCTCTGCTTAGATTTCAGAGGATGCATGGAAATGCCTCGATGTCCAGGCAGAAGTTTTCTGCAGGGTTGAAACTCTCATAGACAACCTCTGCTAGGGCAGTGCAGAAAGGGCATGTGGAGTTGGAGCCCCTACACAGAGTCCCCACTGGGGAACTGCCTAGTGGAGCTACGAGAAAAGGGCCACCATTCTCTAGACCCCAGAAGCGTAGATACACTGACAGCTTGCCTTGTATGCCTGGAAAAGCTGGAGGCACTCGATGCCTGCCTGTGAAAACAGCTTGGAGGAGGGCTGTATCCTGCAAAACCACAGGGGTGGAGCTGCCTAAGACCATAGGAGTCCACCTCTTAAATCAGTGTGATCTGGAGGTGACACATGGAGTTAAAGGAAATTATTTTGGAGCTTTAAGATTTAATGACTGCCTTGCTGGATTTCAGACTTGCATGGGGCCTGTAGCCCTTTTTTTTGACCAATTTCTCCCTCTTGGAAAGGGTGTATTATTCCAACATCTGTATCCTCATTGTATCTTGGGAGGAACTAACTCATGTTTGATTTTGTTGACTCATATGCAGAAGAGATTTGCCTCATCTCAGATGAGATTTTAGCCTTGGACTTTTGAGTTAATGCCAGAATGAATTAAGACTTTGTGGGATTGTTTTAAAGGCATAATTGTGTTCTGAAATGTGAGGACATGATATCTGGGAGGAACCAGGGGTGGAATGATTTGGTTTGGTGGTGGCCCCACCCAAATCTCATTTTGAATTATAGTTATCATAATCCCCTCATGTTGTGGGAGAGAATTGCTGGGAAGTGATTGTCTCATGGGGGTGGTTTCCCTCAATCTGTTCGCATGATAGTGACTGAGGCTCATGAGATCTGATGGTTTTATAAGCATCTGACATTTCCCTTGCTTGCACTCATTCTGTCTCCTGCTACCCTGTGAAGAGGTATCTTCTTCCATGACTGTGTGTGTCCTGAGGCCTCTCCAGCCATGTATGACTGAGTCAATTAAAACACTTTTCTTCATAAATTACCCAGTCTTGGATATTTTTTCATAGCAACATGAGAACAGACTCATATGCAGTTATTCCATTTTTAGTGGGATAACTAGAAGATAGCAGATTCCTCTTGCCCGGAGACCTTGCAAAGACCTCATCTGAGGCAAGTATCTTGCAAGATATCCTTGGCACTGCTCTGGAACTCCCTTCACTTCCATTATTGTCTCCAGACTGATAACAAGGTGAGGTTTTGGTACAGCTAAAAGTAGAGAAATACTGTCCCAACTCTGTGAGGAATGAGCTTAAACACCAGAAGACCTTCTCATTCTGGGTAATGATTATGGACAGGAACATGAAAACATTTGTGGAAATGGATATCTTGTTGGACTAGGGTGGTGGGGGAAGGGAATAGAATTTAAGGCCAACAAGAGGAAAATGTGTTGATATTGGAGCACTCACCCCTAACTTGAGGTTCAGGGTACTGGCACGGATGCCTGAAATTGATTCTAATATGATCCTATAACGGCTCCATAGCCCTTAGACATGGTGATGAAGTGGGGACACTGGA